GAGGTAGTACTGGTGTGCACTGGGAGGCACTGGGAGACACTGGGAGGTAGTACTGGTGTGCACTGGGAGGCACTGGGAGGTAGTACTGGTGTGCACTGGGAGGCACTGGGAGGTAGTACTGATGTGCACTGGGAGGTACTGGGAGGAACTGGTGGGCTCTGGGAGCACTGGGAATACTGGGAGGCACTGGGAGACACTGGGAGGTAGTACTGGTGTGCACTGGGAGGCACTGGGAGGTAGTACTGGTGTGCACTGGGAGGCACTGGGAGGTAGTACTGATGTGCACTGGGAGGTACTGGGAGGAACTGGTGGGCTCTGGGAGCACTGGGAATACTGGGAATACTGGGGGGCACTGGGGGCTGAGCCTTGGAGGTGTCTCATTCCCCCTTTTCCCAACTATCCCTGAATTTTTTCCCTTGGAAATGGGTCGGGAGAGGCCAAAGGGCAAGGTCCAAATCCCCTTGGAATTCCAGCCTGGGACCCACATCCCAGCCCCGGGTTTGGGATGTTTGGGATCCCCCCCTGACTCCAGAGATTGTTCCTCAACCCGCCCTCGCCGAGCTGGGAGAACAAATCCCTGTTTTCCCTCCTTTTCCCGTCAAATTCCGCCCGGGAATGTCCGACCCGCCCTTGGATTCGTGTCTCTTAATTGGTCCCGTAATTAATTAACGGAAACTCGGAAATTGGGAACTCTGGAGAAGATCCCTGTCGGGATTCAAGGGTTGGGAATTCCTTGGGTTATGAATCCCTTTTATTAAGGATTTTTTTCCCGGGATTTTCCCTGTTTTTTCCCCTTCAGGAAGGACACATCCGACCTGTCGGAATCGGCCAACGGCTCTTCCCAGATGGAGGAGAATTCCTTGGAATCTGCCAGCAGGGAAGCCTATTTCAGCAGGGTGGAAACCTTCACCATATCCTTTGGGATGCTCCCCCCTTTGGAATCCTGGAATATCCTCATTCCCACAGGGATCAAACCCTGCCCCTGGCCCCGCCCGGGACATCCCAAAATCCCTGGGAACGTTCCCAAACATTCCTGGAGCTCTTGGGGTCGTGACCATTCCCTGGGGAGCTGTTCCCATTTTCTGGGGGAAAGACCTTTCCCTAAAATCCAACTCAACCCCCCCTGGAACAGCTCCAGGATCCTTAGGATCTCACAGGGAGCAGGGATTGCTCTGTCCCTCCCAAAGAATCTCCTCCAAGGTTTTTCCTTGTTTTCCGGGAAGTTTATTTGTTTTACCTAAATTAACCGGGATTTTTTCTCCCAAATAAACTGGAATTTTTTTTCCCGAATAAACCAGAATTTTCTGGGATTTCCCCCTGGCACAGCTCCAGGATCCTTAGGATCTCACAGGAAGCAGGGATTGCTCCTTCCCTTCCCAAGGAATCTCTTCCAAGCTCTTCCCCCTTCCCGGATGCTTCCCTTTGGGAATTCCCTCAGGAATTTTCTCCTTCACTCAGGACACCCCCTGAAGTGGGCGGGCAAGCCAGTGGCCCTTTCCCCTCTGGAATGTTGTCCACCCTTATTCCCTACTTATCCACCGTTATTCCCTACTTTTCCCACCATTCCCTATTTTATCCCACCATTATTCCCTATTTTATCCCACCATTATTCCCTGTTTTTCCACCATTCC